CGGAAGAGAGTGCTCACCAGAAACTAACCCTGCAGGACTTTGATCTGAGACCTCGACTCTCCAGAATTGTGAGAAAATAAATCTGTTGTTTAAGCAACCCAGTCTATGATATTTTGTTACGGCAATCCAAGCAGACTAAGAAAGCCTTCTTGAAATCTTACATCTGCATATCTAAAATCTATTTGTCAAGACCATGAAGCTTTCCTGAATTCCTCCACATCGGATGTTCTATCCTGTATTACGTAGTTACTTAGTACATATTTCCTAATCTCCGTACTAGTTAGTTTTTGGGGTAACCTCTGATTCAATATTACAGTGCCACAACACCTTGTACTTTGCTTGAAATTTTGAAAGGCACCCTCTCTCTCTATATGAGTTGAGTGAATGAATGAACGAATGAATAAGAGAAAAAAGAAATGGTGTGAGAAATAAATTAGAAACTTAATTTAAAAATGAAAGGGGAAGCAGATTTGAGATGTGGTTTTAATAAATGGGGAGAAATAAGTTAAATCTTCAGTTTAGTGATGTTTAAAAGGAAACAACATAATAGGTATCTCAGAGGAACTAAAAATAGAATTTTTTCCACTGAGATCTGACATACTGTTTGTCTATACATGGGGAGTTTGACTCATTATTGGAGTAGAATTTTTGCTCCAGCTTCAGAGGATGTGGAAAAAAGACCATGGGAATGAACTCAGCTGGTATGGGGAAACTGACATTTTTTGACTAGACTCCTAATCATAAATAAAAGCTCTGGTATCAGACCTACGTAGGTCTGAATCTTCAGGGAGGGCTCAAAAGTGGACATTCAGAACCTGTTCTTCGCCCTGCAGTCCCATTCCCAGTTACCATCTCCCTATGGGAGTCATCCTTGTCTCCCATCTCTTCCTCACTCCCCAAATGCGGTTTTTAAATTTAGATTTTTAAATGGGCAATAGTCACATGGGTCAACATTAAACACCAGGTAAGTGAAAAGTTTCCCTAAAATCACAACTTGGGCTGAGTGTTTTAATCATACTGATAAGGATAATCGAGCTCAGAACCTTTCTTCCATCTTTGTTTTGTCCAAAGCTGAGTTGGAGGCTTGGAAAGCACATCGTAAAAGATTCTAGTAAATCCCACGGTTGCAGGGCAAACAATGGACTTGTAGCATCAGGACCTTTTTCTCTGAGTTGCCCAGAAGATCAAGAAGACAGTAAAGGAAGGAAGTGGGTGACAACACAGAGTGCAGGAGACCTCTTGGGGCTGCCCTGTGGGAGGTTCAGGAGGGTCAGGCTCCCTGGAAGAAGGGCAGTGGGGGAGTGGGGTGCTGTCCATTGCCCAGGGAGGAAGGAAGTGTCAGAGAGGGAAGTGGAAAGGGGTAACCTGCCATTGCAGGTGGCTCCCTCACACCCACCTGAGACTCCAGGCTCTGGATTCTTGAGGAACTTGGACCCTCTTGGAGGAACTTTCTCAAGGGAGGAAGTTTTCATTCTAACTGTCAAAAAGCCATGATTTTCTTTCTCTTCCTACTCTAGTGACACTGTCCAGCAAATATCTAGAAAAAGAGAGAACTAGGAAAGCCCAAAACAAAAAGCCGGAAAAGTCCTCTAGAGAAGGTAAATGGAATTGCTGACTTCATTCATTCATTCATTCATTCATTCATTCATTCATTCATGCCCACTGTTGTGAAAAGTTCTCATTTGACCTAAAAGAGTTCTATGTGTTTAAACAAATGGACAACGTTGCTTCAGGTGGAACAGATTTGAGTTTAGGGAAAGTTTGGGTAACTCCAGCATTTGCCCAGTTGTTTTTCCTCAGAAGACCTGGTGCTATGGTGCAATTAACACGTCACTGTTGAAGCAATAACTTTGAATGTTTTTCTACAACTGGGGCGGGGGGAGGGGAGGAAAGCTTCTTTGTAAAATTAGAGCTTTATATTGAGAAACAAAATGCATAGAGAGCCATTTGGTATTTTACGTGCAATCTTTAAAATTAAATTCTAAAAGACTTTCAGGTCTGGATGCAGTGCCTCCCCAAATCCCTGACCTTGCAGACGTGGGAGCTTACCCCCTGCACATGAGGGAATTAAACAGTCATTCTTCCCCTTTAGTATCCAGTGAAGGATTCTGGCAAGAGAGAATTACAGAAGAGAGAATTAGAGAGAATGTCAGGGAAGGAGTTTGCTAGGAGGTACTGGCTTTACCTAAATGACTTACTTAAAGTCAAAGTCAGAACCTACCTAAGATTAGATATCTGCAGCAACAATTTAGCAATCTTGGGCCTTTGGTAGCCCTTTTTAGAGGTGAAATATGTTTAGAATTCAAGTTTTTGTTGTAATTTTTTTCTTCCAGATTTAAAAAGTGATCCCTAGAAGCAAGGTTTGCCCTTGCCCTTCATTCCTCCAGGTAGACAGACTGGAACCCCCTGGAAGTCACGATGGTTCTGCAGCAGCAGCAGCCTCTCTCTAAAGAGAGGGCAATCCCTTGAACTAAAAAGCCTCCAAACTTGAAGGAAAATCCCTCTTGCTAAGGAAAAAGTACTTATCTAGATTGCTCTGTGTCGTGGGTGTACATGAAGAATATGAACCCCCTCCTAGTATAAACACCACTCCTCAATTCCCTGTGTGAATCTGAGCATGGTTTATTTTAAACTATATTGTAAAATGTCTTTTCCAACGTTTTTGCTATGAAGTTTTGAATTTCTAACTTGCTTCTGAATTGCTGAATGCCACACTTCCCTGACTATTCTAGCATACTCTGAAACACACAGGAAGCATCTGTAGGTTTGGTGAGCTCTCCCTCACCCACTTCTCTGTACTCTTGTTCCAAAAGTGTACGTTCAGCATTTGAGAGCCTTTAATCATCTGCCCTCTTAGCTCCCTTAAACACACTTGTGCTCACACTTTTTATGAAGTTAAAGTTTTCACTTTCAATCAGCTGACTTAAAGGACCGTATCTGTCCTTAATCTTTGTCAATTATCTCCAAAAATCTCAACATCTTTTATCTTCTAAACTTCGATAATGCTTTTCATAAATGCATGCCAAGTTTGTGAATCTGTTTTTTTACTTCTGAGCTTATTTTTCAAAGATAGCAGTATGAGAATTGGGGATGGGAGAAAGCATCACCAGAAACTGAAGGGCCGGAAGCAGAATTGAGGACATTACTTGAAATAATCAGAATAAAAATTCTTTAATTTCTTTAATATTCTACAAATATTGTTTTATTTGTAGAATATTGTTTTTATTTGCGGCCAGTGTTTTATTGTTTTGAATACCTACCATTGTTCTAGGCCTTGGTGATACAGAAGTAAACAAAATAGACAGAATCCTTGCCCTCAGGAAGCTCAAGTTCTAGTGGAAGGAGATGGATAAGAAACTAAATTAAGGAAAATAAAGCATAGATGGAGTATAGGGAGTGTTTGTTTACAAATTTTAAAAGGTGGCCTTTGAGCAGTCTTGAAGGAGGTGAACTAAGGGGCTAGGCTGACATCTTGGGGAAGGGAGTCCCCCACACAGGAAACAACAGCAAGTGCACAGTCTCCCAGGGGAGTCTCTTGGAGAGAATGAGAACCAGGACAATCTGGCTGGAGCAGCAGGTGATGCGGTCAGAGAAATCAAAAGAGCCAGCAGACCTTTTAGAGCCTTTTTGGATAATGCAGGTACTGTGGCTTTTACTGTGATGAGATGGGAAGTCCAGAGGAGAATTTCAAACATGGGTGCCACAGGATCTGATTTAACAAGACCACTCTGGCTGCTGGGTGGAGAAGGGAAGGGGGCAGGTGTAGGAGAGGAGAGACCAGTTAAGAGGCCACTGCAATTAGCTCTACCAGAAATTAATCAGTAAATGTGCTTGCAGAATACAAAAAGAGAAGGAAGCAAATTTTTTTTGGATATTTAAGTTGTAAGAACCCCCTCCCACAATTTAGCAGTTACTCTGCTACCGCCTCTCCTCCAGACACAGTGGGCTTGGGAGTCCTGGGCACCTAGGTCTTCTGGACTTTTTTTCTCCTGAACAACCAATGAACCTAGCAGGGTTTGGTCAATATGGTTAAGTATGAGCCTTTGTGGGTCTGCTTGGGATGTCTGCCTCCTTGCATTTCCTAAACTTGCCTGGTTGCCTGTTAGAAATACAGATTCCTAGGTCCTACCCTTTCAGTAAGCATGGGATCCATGGAATATATACTTTCAGAGCATACGAGGGATTCTTATGACTTGGAAGGTGGGGAAACTGCTTAACTCTAACCTCCCCACCTTTGGCACATATTTTGGGGTTTGCCGCGGACTTGGAAAGATTGCAGGGCGCCCATGGAGCCTGCAGGTGGCGCCACCTGACCGCAAGCTGGAGAGTACTCGCGACCTATAGGGACAAGCGAGAGGCTCCAGGAGAGCGGGTCGCGCCGTGTTGGGGACACCTAGCCGCTACTTATCTCGGGAGGAGCGGCGCACACGAGTAGAAGAGGGAGGTGCGGCCAGTGCGCAGCTTCATTTTAGGACACTGTATCTTAAGCTGTCCCTAGTCGGCTTCTCGGGCTCCTAGGAAAGGAAGGCGCAGCCCCCTCTGCAAGGACATTGAGCACTGAGGAGCCTGCAACGCGATGCAGCGAGAACCAGCCACCTCGCTCTACAGGACAAAAGTCTAAGCACCCCAACCTGGGATTCGGATCTGCTACCGAGGTCCCTAAGAGAGCGGCGGGCTCGAGGACAACCCCTTTTCATTGGCAGCGGGACAGAAGGCCCCGCCCCCTTTCGTACAGCTCTCATCTGTGACTGGCTCTGAGACCTCGGCTGGCCACGCCTCCTCCCCTCGCACATACACAAGAGTCACGCGCCTTTCAGTTGGAAACTTGGCGTGCTGAGGAGGACCGTGGCTTTCATCTCTCCACCCACTTGCCTTGCCATTGGTCTGCGGTGCCGCTCACAACCACGCCCCCATTCCAGCCCCCTGGCTGGGAGGGCGGGCTCCGGCTTGTAATTGGCTGTTCGGCCTGCCTCTCGCGGGAGCGGCTGGCGCTCTCCCCTCCCTTTCCCGCCTCCCGCGAGTCTCCAGGTTCCTTAGCTGGCCCAAGCCGAGTCAGTGTCAGTCAGGGAGACGGACTGCTGAGCACCGGGTGCGGAGGCTCGGTTGCAGTCTCGCGCAGGGGCCGGTGCCTGTACTCGTGCCGCCGAGTGGGAAGGATGAAGCGGCAGCTGGAGCAGCCACCCTATGATTGGCTGTGGCGCTTGTGAACCCGAAGTAAAGATGGCGGACGGGCAGGCAGCCGCCGCACTGCCCACTTGGAAGATGGCGGCGCGCCGCAGCTTCAGCGCCCGCGGCCGGGGGGTCCTGCAGGCGGCGGCGGAGCGGCTGCTGCCGCTGCTACTGCTGAGCTGCTGCTGTGGCGCGGGAGGCTGCGCAGCGGCCGGCGAGAACGAGGAGACGGTGATCATCGGGTTGCGGCTGGAGGACACGAACGACGTGTCGTTCATGGAAGGGGGGGCGCTGCGGGTGAGCGAGCGGACTCGGGTCAAGCTGCGGGTGTACGGGCAGAACATCAACAACGAGACGTGGTCCCGCATCGCCTTCACCGAGCATGAGCGGCGGCGCCACAACCCCGGCGAGCGCGGGCTGGGTGGCCCCGCGCCGCCAGAGCCGGACAGCGGCCCCCAGCGCTGCGGCATCCGTACATCAGATATCATCATCTTGCCCCATATCATTCTCAACCGCCGTACATCGGGCATCATTGAGATCGAAATCAAGCCACTGCGCAAGATGGAGAAGAGCAAGTCCTATTACCTGTGCACATCTCTGTCCACTCCAGCTCTGGGCGCCGGCGGCCCGGGGTCCGCGGGTGGCGCCGTCGGGGGCAAGGGCGGCTCCGGGGTAGCCGGGCTCCCGCCGCCCCCGTGGGCCGAGACCACCTGGATTTACCACGATGGCGAGGACACCAAGATGATCGTGGGCGAGGAGAAGAAGTTCCTGCTGCCCTTTTGGTTGCAGGTGATCTTCATTTCGCTGCTCCTGTGTCTGTCGGGCATGTTCAGCGGCCTCAACCTGGGGCTTATGGCCCTGGACCCGATGGAGCTGCGTATCGTGCAGAACTGCGGCACCGAAAAGGAGAAGAATTACGCTAAGCGCATCGAGCCTGTGCGCAGGCAAGGCAACTACCTGCTGTGCTCGCTGCTGCTGGGCAACGTGCTGGTCAACACCACGCTCACCATCCTGCTCGACGACATCGCTGGTTCAGGCCTGGTGGCGGTGGTGGTCTCTACCATCGGCATCGTCATCTTTGGGGAGATCGTGCCACAGGCCATCTGCTCCCGGCACGGCCTGGCTGTAGGGGCCAACACCATCTTCCTCACCAAGTTTTTCATGATGATGACCTTCCCCGCTTCTTACCCAGTCAGCAAGCTGCTGGACTGCGTCCTGGGCCAGGAGATAGGCACAGTCTATAACCGGGAGAAACTGCTGGAGATGCTCCGGGTCACAGATCCCTACAACGACCTCGTTAAGGAGGAGCTGAACATCATCCAAGGGGCGCTGGAGCTCCGTACTAAGACTGTGGAGGACGTGATGACCCCGCTCCGGGACTGCTTCATGATCACTGGGGAAGCCATTCTGGACTTCAACACCATGTCGGAGATCATGGAGAGCGGCTACACTCGCATTCCGGTATTCGAGGGGGAGCGCTCCAACATCGTGGACCTCCTTTTTGTGAAAGACTTGGCCTTCGTGGATCCAGATGACTGTACTCCCTTGAAAACCATCACTAAATTTTATAACCACCCCTTGCACTTTGTTTTCAATGACACCAAGTTGGACGCTATGCTGGAAGAATTTAAGAAAGGTGGGAAATTTGGTCTTTCATTGGCTTGCTCTTTTTCTCTCTACATCCTTCTCCCTGCTTGAGCCCTCGACCCTCAGACCAGCCCCTCCCCCCCAAGCCGAGTTGACTGGAATTTCTCCTCTTTTTTAATTGCAAAGTTGAAAGGCGTCGCGGATTTGGGGATGGGTTGAACTAGTAAGCGCTTCTAGATTCTTTAAAAGCACAAGACTGCCATCACTTGCTTTTTCCCTTATCATAAAAGTAGGCTTCCTATTTTCTGTGCACGATACTCTTTCCGGCTCTCTGGTCTTGGGGGGGTCTACTGCATTCATTGCCGGGCTCTGAGAGGATAGATGAAAGGAGAGGCGGCTGATGCCATGGTATGCCATTTAGTTGACATGTACTAATCGCAGGCATTTGGAAAACATTTAATAGCTTTTCTAAACCCAACACAATCCTTTTCCTCCTCCTTAAACATTCACTGAAGTTTCAGAGATGGGAAGTGCAGTTTCAATAGCTTCTGTGCCTGGTTGTCTGGTGACCTGTGGGGGAAATCGAGATCTGCCTTTGATGGTAAGGGATGAGATAAGCCAAATATCGCCAAAAAAAAAAAATCACTTATTTGGATGCGATTTGCCTTAGTTAGAAAAGAGGGTTTTTTAAACACTTAAGTTTTTTATTAATATGTAACTCGGAAAGACTAGAGGTAAGTTAACCTTTTACTAGGCTATATTTTGTCTAGCTTTCTTAGCTATTTGTTTATATTTACCTGACAAAAATTTCCCAAACTAAGTGCAGTTTTGGTAGAAAGCTTCAACTTTTAACAATGAGATGAATCCCTCTATTATGGTTTATTTATTTCTTGAGTCTTTCTGGTGTAAAAGTGTTCTTTTTAACCTTGATCACCTGGTGTATTAAATTGCAGTACGACTCCAAGTCAGCGCTCATTGTTCCAGGGAGTTTTAATAAGGAAGAGAAGTGCAGAGTCTGAGGCGCTCACCTTTCTTGCATGGTGGTTTTTTTGGTTTGTTTTACCATGTAATGTACAGATAAATAGCCACTCATACTATTATTACTGAAATTCTGCTTTTAAAAAGTTTCCAATAAATAGCTAGTGTTATTTGAAAACCGAGGGATGCTGGGTTTTCTAATTGCTATGATGCTCAGGCATGTGCATGTATTAAAATGTCTACGTAACCTTTAATGACCTGATAGTCCTTAAAACTAAGTTTTCCTTCTTCAAAGAGAATTTTGATCACTGACAGTGGTCTTTCCACTGAAAAAGACCATGTGTAAGGGGTGACACAGCTCGCTGGATGTGATGATCTGAACATACTCATAGAGTTGTGTGGTTGTCCTAATTTCATTTTCCTGTCTGAATAGGATCCTCTCTGGAACAGGATCACATTGCAGTAATTTTCAGATAAAGGAATAGAGCAGAATGTGCTTCTGAGATTGGTAATTTGCATTTAAAAGCAGAAGGAGATTCTTCTGGGTTCTTAAACAGTAAGAAGAAAATGACCATTATCTCTAGGTGACAGAGCTTCTTTTGGCAGTGTTATTGTTCTTTCACTGCTTAAGCTGTTAATTAGAGCATCTAACCAGTCTCTTTGATTTTGCAGTAATATCTGTAGTATAGAAGGATGTCTTGAAATGCTTGAAAATACCTCTGAAATACTTTTTTATTTCTGTTGCTGAATTTCCCAGTATTGATACAGATGATTTATTCTCTCTGCTTTTTTTTTTTTAATTATTCAGAATATTTGCTCATCTACTGGTGGATTGATAGCACTAGTGTGTGCTCCTTGCTGAAAGATTCAATTCACTTATGTACCTTTTTCCTTTGAGAATTTAAGTCTGTATACCTCACCACTCATTAATCCTGCTTCTAACTCAAAATTTGCATTATTTTGAAATTTGTTTTTCGTTGTCCTTGAACGGTTTTCCTATGACTGATTTATTTTCATGAGGAACTTTTTTCCGCAAAATTAATTACCTCTCACTATTTTTGAAATGTATCCCCTTAAATAATTGAACTATGAATATTTTCCCATGAATTTTAGAAAAATAGTAATGCACAACATTTTATTCTGTCCTTCACCAGAATGATGTATTTGGTATATTCAGGGTATATTCAAGCTACTGGAATATTTGGAAGAGCAGGCAAAGACAGTTGCAAATGGGAAATTTAAGCCATGATCTTAAAAGGATAGAGTGAATGGATGTTACTTAAACTATGGGAATAAGTGATTTTTCACCTTCCTTTTCTTGATCTTTTTTTGATGAGTTTGGTCACTTTAACCTTACTAACGACTTTGTTAGTTCTTCTGTATGAGTTAAATATTTCACCTGACTTTTTTTTCATTTTCTAATTCAATTATGAAATAATATGAACAGTCAACTTCTTATTGTTTTTCTCTATTGAATAATGGCGTGTGAGTTGGTTTGAAGGCTTTTTCTTACTCTTTCACCTAACAATACCAGCTCCCCCAAACTGGTTAGATCATTAATCCAGATCTCATTGGAAATTACCCTTCCTAATTAAGAATGTCTGCATTGAAGCTTTTCCTGTATATAATTGTACATCATTGATCTGAGTTATTCTTTACTAAGGATGGGGAAAGTTTCTGTAATGTGGGAAGAAATGAAAGTCTACCTTTACATTAAGTATATATGAATGTCTTCTTTCTAATGATCAGAACTTTTGTCTGGCTACCAAGAAACTTAGCTTTCCTTGAGGTTGGAAGACAGTAATCATGCTAATTTTTCAGTTAGCTTGTTATTATTATTATTGTTTACTTATTTACTTTGTTCCAGGTACAGGGCTGAAAACACAAATCACCTTGTTTAAATTTCATAATAGCTGAGTAAAGCATTATCTCCATTTTACAAATGAGGAAATTGAGGCTTAGGTTAAATGATTTGTTCTAGGTTACACAATAATTTGTTGATACGGGGTTTTAAACTCAGGTCTGTGTGCCAGCCAACCATGCGCTCTTAACCATTCTATTATGGTGGCCCCTGGATCCTGATTTTACATTTCTGTTTTAATTGACTATGAGGTTTGGTCAAAACATAGCCTCAGAGCTTGTTGGGCAACAGACATAGAAATGTATTTAAACATATATCTACCTTTAAACCTAGTGCTTCTGTGATATTCTGCAGAATAGTTGGGGTCTCCATTTTTGCCATTAAAACAAATCACTTTTTGGCCTATGTGATCCTAAATCTAAAGAATTCTATTTCCAGTATTTCCACGTCAAACATAAATATTCATTTTGAAAATGTTTTATACTAACACTATAGTACACTAGTATGTGCTTTTTTGGTGAACTACTCTACACTGTTTTCCTAATAGCTGAAGTGTGTAGTAATGTTTTACTCTTCGTTTCTTATCTGTGTTGCAAGGGTGATTCAGAGTTTTGTGTTTAAATCTTGATTTTATTTACATTTTTTGTAGCCACCTATATGATAATTGGTTGCTAATGAGCATCGTTGGCAGCTCTGTCCCTCTGTGCTCCATGTAGTCAGGCTTTCTCTTTTTCATTAGTTTTGTAGTTCCTTATAAATCTAAATAAGAGAATAAAAGCAAATCCCACTAGAAGATTAGGAGAATTTTAGAAAAACCATCTATAGCAAAATAGTGTAGAGGAAGAAAAAGCTGAATTAAAGGTTGCTACTTTTGTGTGCAGAAAGCATTCTAGAGGCTTCCATTGACCTGATAAAAGCTTCCTAACAAAAGACTGGGGACTCTTAGCCACCTATTTGTCTACACTAGGGACGAATTTGAAGAATCAGTAACCAGTTATTGTTCTTCTGTTTTGTGTTGTTTACTTTTAGCTTTGTAACAGTTGCATTCCTCTATTGTAAAGCATGCTGTTTTATAGCTGCTAGGGACTTAGCCAGGCTGTTTTCTAGCTTTTTCTTAGCTAGGAACAGATAGGATCACCAGATAATGTTGTTCTTCAAGAGAAGAATGCAATGTATAGTTTTCACTTAAAACTTTAGGAGTACAGTTCTCTCTTCCTAGAACAGAAGCCTTTCCATGTTAATGTGCTGCAAGTTTAATATTAAAAACTTTTTTCTTCCCGAAATAAAGTGTTCCACTCGCCCAGAATCGAAGAGGATGTTTTTATTGGTGTTTAAAGGTATAAGTGGTGTTGGAGATTGGGCATAGTTGTTTCTATGATCTTGTATGTTTATTAATTTTATACAGTAATTCATGTTAAACTGTTATAATTGTGCACGTTTTTAAAATGTCCTTATGAAATATCCAGATAGTATAGAATCAGAGCTGGAAGGCGGCAGCTCAGGGATCACCTCATCCAGTGTTTGCAAAACTTACCAGGTAATAAGAATTACTTGGATCACTTACTAAGAATAAGGTCCCAGGTTTCACTCAGAAAACTCCTGAACATTCCAGAATCTCTAGAGAAGGAGGCTTGGAATCCATATTGTTAGTAGTTACTGTGAAGTAAGTCTCATGATTAGGTGAGTTTATGAAACATTGGCCTAGTCAGCCTCTTAAATAAGGAAAGTAAAGCCTGAAAGAGAACATTAAGTGACTTGCTTTAGGGCTACCTGCCTAGCTAGTAGCATCAACAGGACTGGAACCCATGTCCCCCACTCTAGGACTGGAGTTCTTTTCACTCCAACAAGCAGGCCTTCTGGTCCCAAGTAGAAGGTACCTGTGTCATTGAAATGATCTGCATCATTGAAAAGCAAATTTTCAAGTTTACCATTGATTTTTATTTGTCTTGTGATTTTGATGTCAGTATTTTTGATATCCTGGAGTCATGCCTTCTTTGACAGGCATTTTGTTGTATGGGAAAAAAGTCTGGATGTGTGAACTTGTTTTATTTTAGCCTACTTTGAGTTTTTACATTGCTAAGATCAGACTAGGAGGGTATTTTGGAAATATCTAGATTTCTTGAAGCCTCACCTCAGGTAGTTAAATGTCACGTTTCTTTTGAGTTAACTTGTATCAGATATCCCTGAATCATGTTTTATTTTTGGTTGTT